TCAGAGCTTTCACCCCCCCACCGCACCCTCTGCCCTAGCCCTGAGCCCCTCCAGCACCCCAAACACCTCATTCCCAGTTCCAGCCAGAGCCCTCATCCTCCCACACCCTGACCCTCTGCCCGAGCCCTGAGCCCCTCCCACACCCCAAACTTCCCATTCCCAGCCCCAGCCCTCACCCCCCATACTCCTACTCTCGCCCTGAGCCCCTCCCACACCCAAACCTCCCATTCCCAGACCCAGCCCTCACCCCCCATACTCCTACTCTCGCCATGAGCCCCTCCCACACCCCAAACCTCCCATTCCCAGACCCAGACAGAGCCTTCACCCCTACTCTCGCCCTGAGCCCTTCCCACACTCCAAACCCCTCAGCCACAACCCACTACCCTCACCCCTGCACCCCATCCCTCTGCACCCCTCCCATTCCTAAACTCCCTCCCAGAGCCTGCACCCCAATCTCCTGCCTCAGCCTAAGGCCTGCACCCCAGACCTCCTCCCTCACCCAAACTCCCTCCCAAAGCCTTGGGCAGGTGGGAGGGGCAGAGTTTGGGTGGGGGTGGGTTCTGGGGATCACCAAAATTTCTACAAACCTGCCACCTCTGATCGTGCCCTGCAAACCTGAACTCCCAGCATTCTCACGACACATGCTGATCGCTAGTGACCACTGCTGATATCCAGCACCTCCCTCCTCTCTTCTGTGAGTCCCTCTCGGGATTGGAACTCTACCGCCGCCCCTTCATTCATTTTTCGGCGGCAATTCGGCGGCAGGCCCTTCCCTCCGAGAGGGACTGAGGGACCCGCAGCTGAATTGCAGCCGAAGAGCCGGCCCTGGGGGACGGTGCAATTCTATATTCTTGCCTCGGGCGCAAAAATACCTAGTTACAGTTCTGGGCTGGCTCCATAATGCGCCATGGTCCTAGGCTCTCAGACCGGCTGGAGACCAGTGCATTGATGAGGCTAATAGAAGGGAGACAATGTACAGGGCAGGGAGTCAAATGCATCTATAAACAGACAGGTCACAGCTCTATGGCATTGACCAACAGGGATTTGGGGAACAGCCTTGTTCCCTTTTATCGCTGCCGGGGTTTGTGTTTTCACCTCTCCTGCTTTCTATCCCCACACGGAAACTGAGAGGTGAACATGGGACTATTTGGGCTTCTGGTTGGCAGGTAATAATTCCTTTTAACCCATATCAGTGTCTGTGTAAGGGGACTGTTGCCCCCTTACTAACACTCAGTGGGGGTGTTTTGGTTGTTAGCTCCCAGCACTAAAAGGGGAAGCGTCGATGTAAAATCAGGACCCTGAGACTGACAGTCCCCAGGACCAATGGGGAGAGGCCAATGCTCCAGATCAGCCTGATTGACAGGGCGGGCAGCTAATCAGGGAGTCAGGAGGCCAGGGGGGTCCCGCCCTCCCTGTGAGCTGGAATGGCCTGGGTCTAGGGTTACCATACGTCCGGATTTTCCCGGACATGTCCGGCTTTTG